TAAAGTTGGGCATTTTAACATGGGGAGTCTATGGGATTGACTCCCTTTTGCAGCCAGCCTCTAGCGGCCAGTTGATGAATTACAGTTTAAGTCACTTCCGTGTTGGCTTCAGAGAGAGACCGGGAGGTTGCCGCTTGGTAAAAATCGATGCGTTTCAGAAAGGCGGGGCATAGAGGAGAAACAATAATGTACAGTATGTGGAAAATAATGTGTTTTTTTAACCTTAAACCGCATAAACACATTTCATTACACCAAATACACAAAATAATATTCTTTTTAACAACATCATATGGCCCCTTTAAAATCACCTTGACACCAGATCAAAGTACCATGGGTGCAGCAGGCGCAATGATATTACGCAGCGCCTGAAAATAGGCTTATTGGAAGTTACCTAGCTAGGACTGTTTTCAGGCGCTGCGTAATATCATTGCGTAAATAGCCTAGTGCAAATAGGCCCTAGCATGTTACCTTGCTAGTTCTTTTTCTGTCTCTGTTCCTGACACACTATTTATGAGGCATCGTTTTCTTTACTATACTTACTGTACCAGTGTTTTAGTAAAATCAAAAACAAACAAAAAGCATTGTTTGCTTGATTGAACCGTAATGCTTTTTACACAGCTTCTGCTTCTGCATACATCGGAATTCCATTTGATCCACATCATCAGCATTCGTTTGCACCTGGATACCATGGTAACCAGTAAACATCAGGATGCAATGACGACACGGGGCGCAGGTAATTTATCCATAACCGGACTGAACTGCACCGTTTGCCTAAAAAAATGAAATGAATCATTTGTTTTATCAACTCTCTAGCTCCACGGGTCGCGTTCGGTAGCTGCCAGAAACGGCTGATGTTTCCAAAGCATTTTGCGCCTGATCGCATGGGCAATGAAATGCTCGCGCTCTACGGCTCCAAGGAACTAGGACCCGGATGTTACGACAACCACACGGTGAGTATGCAGGATGGCACAGCACTTATTAACGTATAAGTTATGGAACGTGTTATTCCTTTCACCTAACTTTGCAGTTCCCAGGTGGGCACTCTTACATATGAGCTCCAACACAGACCTGAGAGTAAGAGGGGATATGTGTTAGGAGCGCGCACTGCACCACGATTTCTGCCTCCAATTAAGGTATAGTTTATGAATTTCTAAGTAACAACCATTTAGTTAATGTAATATTTTTTATTTTTTTTTAAATGCATCGCCTGTTTTTATAGACGGCCACCCCTTCACCACAGAAATACCAGCAGGACTGGACTTGGTCTAAAGTGTGTCCTCCTGGAAAAGCACCATTCAATAGTACCACTGCAAGAGTCAGACATTCAAATACAGATTCCAGCCCTGGGTATGATTATTTTTAACATTTGACTATGAGTGTATCTGGTAATAAATGTGTGTTATGGTAATGAAAAGCAACTACTCTAGTAGTTCTCAAACTTTTTGGCTGCAGGGCCCGCATTAACAATAATTGAAGGCTGGGCCCCATGACATTTGCAGTTGTTTGTGTTGCTGAATAAAGATTAGGGATATTTTATTATAGTAGAATATTTTACTCTCATTTTCAACCTGATAAAATATTTTAGAGCTTGGAAAATGTATACAAGAAAAATGTATATTAATTATAAAAATGTCTATGGAGTTTTTACATTTTATTTACTTGCAATCCCTGACCGCTTGGTTGAGTACCACTCATCTAGAATTAATTTTCCCACATTATTTTTCTAATTATATACTGGGCTGAGGCAAAGCACATCTAAAGCAATAAAGAGAAATATGGGGTCCAAAATTATTTTTTGTAATTGTTTTGCATTAAAAATCCTATTACCAGAATAACAATCTAAGTGAAAGCTGAACTGAAAAATCGGCATGAATTTCAGAATGTGTAGGTATTGAAAACACAAGTTTGTGTAAAACCTGATGGTTTCACTTGCCAGCATGATTTGAGAACTAAAACTTCTAATTCCAGGTTTAAATTAAATGAATCCCAGATTTTTAACGTATATCCCTTTTTTAGTCCAGGGGCATATGTTCTTGATATCATCCAAAGCAAGAAGGTGTCGTGGCCTATGAAATTCAGCTCTCCAGATTGGTCAAAAGTGCCATCGCTGGAGAGAAGAGCACTGCGTACAGAGGTACAGATATATCTTACATTCTTCTACAAATGATCATTTAAAGAAAAAAGAAAAAAAAAAAGAATATGCACAACAGCCTGTTTGTTGAGCGTGACATTTTTTTTCCTTAGATGATAATAAAAAGTTATTTCCCCCCCCCCCCCCCCATTTTTAACTTGATGTGTTTTGTGTCCATGCAGCTCTACCATGACAAAGAGTTTAGGAAACAGAGGAACAGGCTGGCATATCTAAGCTTGTTTTACTGATGACACTAAAATGCTACCACAAAAATTCAGCGTGATTGTCAATGCATACAAACATTAAAGCTTTATAAGACAAGTTTTCCTATTTCATAACAAGTGTGAAACCTTATTTTTGAGGTACATTACTTAAAATTAAACTAATGCAGTAGTGAGTAGAGTAACCGGACACGAGACACATGCTCATAATGGAGACGTTTCCACATTCTGGTTTAATTTTCAACTTGTCCTTTTGAAACGATGCCATAAAATAAACAATGATAGACATTTATTACCATCACTCACAAATGAGTAACAAATACACACAAATCAAAAGAGAATGTCATGTTTCTGATGTGTTGTTTAGAACTGTAAAAACAAAATGATATTTCAAGGGAAGGCTTATCAAAACAAACTACCAAAAATCAACTGTAAGCTTTGTTACACTTTAGAGAAGTTGCCTGCTTGAATTCCATCTAATATTTTTCAGATATACAGAAAAGTCTGCCATTCTATATGAATCAAACATCAGTAACATGATGGACCACTGCGCGTTTCCAAATTGCAATTGTTGAAGACTCTGGTTCCTGGTATGTTAGCTGTAACTTCAAGGGGCACAATGTGATTAGCACGTGCTAAGAAGTCATCATCCATCCTAATCAGCTGATGTAGAAGTAGCCGAGTCAATATATCAATTTTCATTTTTTCCTTCTCACTTTGGGCTTTTTGACTGGCCGAAGATATGGGTTGTCAATCATGTTTTCCTCATTGGCCTTCCCTGTAGGCACAACTCCACCAGGCGGCAGCACTACATTCTCCTTATCTGCACTTTGGTCATCCTAGAAATAAAAAAATAAAAAAAATTAATTAATTCATTATTATTATTATTATTATTAAAATAATAATAATAATTCTATTTAAAAGGTCATTATTAAAATAAAATAATTAAACAAAATACAAAATATAGTTATTGCACACACACATATACATACATACATGTATACACACACACACACACACACACGTTATAAACAAAAAAAAACATAGAAAAACAAGACATGTTTTTTGATGGACAGTTCATGTTTTTGCATAAACATTTTGACAAGAAAAAATGCTTCATGCTTGCCTGACTGACGTTACTGGAGTTGTTCTCTGTGTCTGTCTGGTCGTCCTGCTCGGATGAATCTGTCTCCTCCAGTGTCTGAAGCTCTAGTTCAGAGGGCAGCAGGGCACTCAGGTAAGGGATGGCGCTTGGCTTTGCTGCGATCACTTATTACACACAGACAGATGAATAATAAATGCTAGAAAGTCAAAAGGGTAGTCAAAGTATAATAAGACACTGGCAGTATTTGGGGCAGAAAAACTCACAAGGGAATGCACTGATGTCGTCCTTAAAAAGGCTTTGCGTCTCTCCTGTCTTGGCCATGAAGCGCGTGAGCGCACGTTCCACATCTCTCCTCTGTGATGCCGCCTTTTCTCTCACCACCTGATAATCTGACACAGGCTCTCGAAAGGTCTAAAACATAGAAATGTGAGATATAATATTTTGAAGCAGAATGTATGTTCTTAATGTTATTGGTTGTTAAGCTGAAAGTCACACAATAACAAGGCATCAGGTGAGCAAAATAACTCACTGGTGTTTTGATGTATGTATGAGGATCTGGGAATTCTGGGAAGTGGCTGGGGATGTATGTTGGATGAGTGCGCTTCTGTCCGGCTATGAGGGCTTTTGGGACGAGTGGAGCATTTGTTATTGGAGCTGTTAAACACAGAAGAGTACATTTAAACAGTTATAACAGATAATATAGGATAAACTGATAAATCAGTAAAAAATGGTAAACCTACGTGCAGTTATGACCATCCTTTGGGATCTTTTGGCATACACTGGAAGAGTATCCACATTAAAACCTGCGATTGTGGAAAAAGTAAACCTCAGAATTAGTTAAAATCTCATTAACGGATAAACGTGATTCAACCACATACAGAAGTGAAATCTTTACTTCTTAAGATAAAATAGATTGATAAAAGGGCAACCAACCCATTTCGACCAATGTGATGACCACATCAGAGAGTGTAGGGGTGCTTCTAGCTGTGTGCTCACAGGTTGCCTTCGCACAACGTCCAACCTCAGTTATATCTATCAAAAGATAATCAGACGCTTAATATAGAAAACACAATGAAACATGTTTATTCTGTAATCGAAATAAAAAAAAATTAATTACATAAATATTACATTTATATAAACACACACTCACACATATATATATATATATAATCTTACAGGTGACTTGCATGAGATAAGGGAAGGACTCACAGCTCTGCATCATCTCAGTGAGTGTCTCCATCGCTGCTTTCTCAGCGTTCTCGAAGCCACACTCTGTCAGCAGAGAGCTGACCACCACCTGCAGCGTGCGTCTCCGAGCAAGCTGATAGTTCTCTGTAGGACTTGTGCTAGTCTTACTGCTCCCCGAGCGCTGCAATTATTAATCAAAAGAACAGACTATTAAAGATCAGGATGTCCAATTTCAAATGTTTGACTTTCTCAAAACCAAGCTTTGGTTGCTGCTATTTATGGTTCTAATCAAAAAGTTTAAACCAGCATAAATGTTTTGCTGGTCTTCAAGACTGGGAGACCAGTTTAAATCAGCTAAGACCTTTTCAGGGATAGTGGTGGCTGCTCTCCTAGACAGCATTTTTGGACATCATATGCGTGTTCTAACAGCATGACTGGGCATATGATGGTCAAAAAATAGTGTTCAGGTAGGCAAGACCACTTGGTTTGAGACTTTATGCTGACAGACACTAAACTGTTTCTAGATAGCTTCACTACATTTATTGTGAGGCTATTATATATTTAACGTTACGCATAACATAATAAAAAGAACGACGTGTTTGCATATAAAACTGTCTTTTTTTAAATATATGGCAATTCTGCCCTTAAATGTGCCTTATATTTAAACAAACTCATAAAGTTAGTGTTGTTTGGCTAAGCTAGCAGACTGTAACTTAGGTAACGTTAACACAAATGAAAGGAGATATTTACGCTTCCGGAGTTTAAAGATCCGCTTCCCATCACTACAGAGTCTGCCATTTTTTTAACTCTAGTGGCTTTTCCTCTGATGTTTAGCACTCGTAAATAAACTCATTGTGCGTTCTGCATGGCCTAAAAACTGTATTGGGTGTTTTTATATTTGGTGAAAATGGCAACCCTATCAAAATTTTCAACAGGGCCACCGGAAGGTTGTTGTTTTCGGTGCGTTTTCAAAATAAAAGTCAGATTTATGCAGTTAAAAAATACTTAAATACAAAAAAGTGAAACACATAGATTAGATTTTTGTGTGTTATCCTTGAGGTAAAAAAAATCGCTTTTATCATTTACAACCTGTTTAAAATATATCAGTTTGTTTGGATGCATGGCCTTTGACCATACATGATATGCTTTTCTCCTCCATTCATGTTTAAAAAGCATGATGCCGAAATTGCTTAACTGAAATATTCTAAAGTGGCTTTAATTGAAAAAGATTTTCTAATTTGTTTTTATTGGTTTGAACAGAAGAGGGCGTTATACACGCCTAGTTAGAATGTCAGACATTTTATTTTATATAGATTTTTTAAATCTCTTCCTGTTGGATAAAAAAGAAAAACAATAAAACCATCCTTCAACATCTACTGTATAAACACTTGGATTTTTACATGCATTAATTATTAAATACAATTTTGTTTAGTTATCATCAAGACCAACTTTTAAAAAGTTGGAAAAAAGTTAACATTTACATAATTTTATATTATTTGGTGGGTCATTCTGCTTTGTAAAGACTAGAAATCATGATACTGTGCTTATATTTCATTATATTTTCAGAAATAGTTTTTAACAGTATGAGTAACAGTTTTTCACATAAGTGTACTGCGTTAGGCTAACCGAGACTTGTCATTTGCACTTATATTGTTGCCCTTTTGTTAGTTTTGATTGCTCCTATTGTCCTCGTTTGTAAGTCGGTTTGGATAAAAGCGTCTGCTAAATTACTAAATGTAAATGTAAAGTTGCATTGTTACAAATTCTTAACTTGCAAATTTTTCTTAACAGGTTTATATATATTCTCAAAATTGCCAAATTTACACTGCAAAAGGCGGCACAAAAGAGCTTCTTATCTTTAAACGCACAGTTTAATGTTTCTCAGAGGTGCATGCATTTCCACAGCCATTTTAACTGTATATTAGAAGCCAAGGTGTGTCAAAGCAGGCATCGTTTTTAGTACATTTTTATGTGGCATTATATCTTTAATTTTGAGCAGGCCCAGAACATCCTTAACTCTTAACTCTGTACTCTAAATGTCTATATATAAATAGTTTCGTTTAGGTTTAGTTCACGGGCATTTATTCTGAAAGTTGTTGCAGCAGGCGGCCATCACGCTGGTGTCGCTATTTTCAACTGCCTCACCACCAGCTAAAAACTCACTCATCACGTCTGTAATCGCAACGCAAGATTGTTGTATTGGTTTCCCAGCCTCGATTCCTTACTGATGAGGGACTTTCGGCCCGACTGACGCAGGGAGATGGGGGTACTCAATATTTCTGACCAGGTGAGGGAAATTAAAACCCTACGAGTAGCGAAAATCAAGCAGTTTGTTGTTCGCTCTCTGCGCTTGTATGCAGAGCCTGACATGTTAGCTAGCAAGATGACGATGGATTATGACATTTCCCTTATATTTCTTCCATCAAAACTTGTGTTTTTGTCATGCATTTAGCTGTAAACGTCACGTTTTTACTGTATAATAAGGGTAGGGCTACCCAAGAGGCGATAAAAATGAAAAAAATAACCCTTTTATCACGCCCAGACGTTAGCCAGCCTGCTAGCCTAATGAGCTGGGTGTCAGCCAGCCGCATAGGAAAACATCTATTGTGTGTTTATGTTTTTAAAACGCACTGGTTTATTAATCTATTTAACAAATACTCCGGCTTTTGTATGCACATGTATTATATCTACGTAGATAAAATTGCAGTGTGTGTTGTTTTGTTACAGCTTTCTTATGATACTCAGTGATCATGATATTTGGTTATAATCATACAGTTATACACCTCACAAGTGACACTTAATGTTATACACTGTAATCAGAAGTTGCTCAAACAAAAGGTTTGAATTTGTTGTCATGTTTCATAGCATTATCATAACATCCACCCTTTTTTTCCCCCTCCTCCAGACGCCTCTGGTCCAGGCCATATTTAACCGAAATGTGGATGAAGTGAAGTTATTTTTGCACAAGAAAGATGAAGTCAATGCACTGGTATGTTCCGAATGGCAATTTAGTGTGAGCGTGAATTATGTGTCTCATCTGCATATGTGATGTAATAACTATGGACAGATTGTCCGGGTGACTGTACATATGGGCTGTGTGGGCCTTTAATGAAAAATGGCAGTGTGGAAAGGAAATAAAAAATCTGTTAACTTTTTTTTTTTTCTCTCCCTACTTTCTTGTGTCAGGACCAAGAGCGCCGCACACCTCTTCATGCTGCTGCCTGGCTGGGGGACGTTCATATAATGGAGCTTCTCATCAGCGCAGGTATGACCTTAAACAGCAGTACTGCCACCATATGCAGTAATGTTTTTATTCATACGATACAGCATTCTAGCCTTGTTAAAAATGTGACTGGTTTTTTGTTTAGTTTTCATGGGTGCCTCTCATGCACAGATGGTTTTAATAAATGGATACAATGTGACTTTGTGCTTTTGCTGCCAACTAGATGGTTAAATTGCTGCTGAACAAGGGAGCCAATCTGAGTGCCAGTGACAAGAAGGACAGGCAGCCCATTCATTGGGCAGCTTACCTTGGTAAGTATATACTCGTATCTTTCTGAAGTGTTGTAGGTGTTTTCTGTAGCTAAATAGCAATTGATTGGTTTCATCATCTTTAGCTACTTAGTGGTGATTCCTGGAAGTAGTAGTAATACTTACCTGTTTGTTTCTTTCAGGACATCTGGACGTGGTTAAGCTGCTGGTGTCTCAGGGCTCGGATAAGAGCTGTAAGGATAAGCGAGGATACACCCCTCTCCACGCTGCTGCTGCCAGTGGCCACGTCGATGTGGTCAAGTACCTGTTACGCAATGGAGCCGAGGTCAGTGCCAGGACTTGACATTGAGCTTTATCACTTTTCTCCTCTTTCTTGATTTATTTTTTGTCCAAAGATTAAGTGTCTGGTTCCTAAATCATTTTAACAATTCGTCTTTGATAGATTAAAAATATTGGCAATATGGGATAAGGCATCAGAAATATGAAGTCAGCCGTATTCAAACTAGGGGTCGACCGATATGTGTTTTTCAGGGCCGATACCGATTATTACTGATCAAGTAGGCCGATAACCAATATTTTGAACCGATATATATGTCTGGTGTAAAAATTAAAATTAATGTCAAAATTAAGAATAACAAGGGCTCTGACAAAAACTGCCTTCCTTGGTGTTGGTTGAGTGTAGTACTCTCACATTGCACTTCTTACTCTTGTCTTCCTCTGTGCATCCATCTACAATAAGGGTAATATAAAGAGAGAGTTAAAAGTGGGGCCACTGTATGCTTCATGATTAAGCCTATGAATGCTGTACTACAGCTAAACAGCTTGGGGAAATGTAAGTATTTGGCTTCAATAATTTACATGTTAGAAATGTATGTGTAGTAGCATAACCTCTCATAATTCCTCATTAATTCTTTTATGATGGCTAAAACATAACCTACAATAGTAGAGGTGACTGTTCAATTCATCTAATGCACATCAAGGGATTAACTTAAAAAAATGTATATAATAAGTGTAAATAATTTAAATGTCTTCATAGCTATATTGTAGAAGTTGTTAAGAAGACTGCAACTATTTTCATGAAACTATAACACTAATAGCCTTTTACAGGCACACTTAGTTCAATAGCCTATTGAAATGTCTCAATTTTTGTCATCCTAATCTTGGCCTATGTGACACTAGAAATTTCAGTTAGTTTTAATTTACAGTACAGTGCAAATGAAGGCATAAATCAATTTAATTTATCTTTTAATCAAATGAGAGTTAAACTCCTTGTTTTTTGGCAAGCAACGGGTTTACTATTAAAATTAAAACATGGAAGAAATAGCGTATTGTGTGATTATTCTTTTAAACAAAAGTTTTAATAATTGTTGTAGTAGTATTATGTATATCATACTGCACCACAGTAATATATTTCTGATAA